GTTTTAAGGCCCTTTCCAACCCAAGCCAGTCTGGGATTATATGTCCCCGTGCAACAGTTGGCCCAGTGTCACTTACCCCACAGGTGCCCCAGCAGTCATCCCTATGATATCATGTCTCATCAGTTTCTCCACGTCCCCAAACAGTTGCCCCATTCCATGCGTCCCCCAGCAGTCACCCCAATGTCACTTGCCACCATGCTTTCCCCTACAGTTCTCCCTATGACAGTTGCACCCATGTTGGTCATTCCTGTGTGTTCCCCAACAGCCACCCCTGTGCAATCCACCCATCATCCCCCACTGCTCTCCCCTGTAGCTACCCACCTGTCATTACCCCTGGTCCCCAGTGGTGACAGGTCCCCCTATCCCTCCCTGTCACCCGTGCAGCACTAAAGGCACTGGAGAGTTCAAGCCGGCGGGCACTGCAGGGTCTGGTGTTCCTGGTGGGCAATGGGCTAGGGCTGGCACTGGCCCTCTACAAGTGCCAAGCCATGGGGCTGCTGCCTACCCGCCCGTCCGACTGGCTGGCCTTCGTTGCCCCACCACAGGTATACCCAGATGTCGAGCCCCCTCCACCCCATCTTCCCTGATGGCAGGGTTCCCCCTGGCCTGGATACTGGGGTCCTCACACTTAACTGCTTTCTCTCTCTTCCCTCTGCAGCGGATGGAGTTCACTGGTGGGGGCCTCATCCTGTGACCCAATGCACCCACCCACCAATAAAGGTGATGGCAGGCTGGTAATACTGTTTTTGGGGGGAATTATGAGCGCTTAGGGGTGCGGCCCAAAGAGGCACTGGGACAGGTCAGAGCAAAAACTGTTTGTGGCATCTGCTGGGAGCAGTGGGAGTGCTCTGGAGCAGCACTAAAGCCTGTGCTGGGAGTGCCCTCTGAGCTTTGGGGCCTGTACTGGGGGGCTTGGGATCCACACTGGGAGTGCACTGGAGCTGCACTCACAGCTTTGTGGCCCATACTGGGAGCACTGGGAGTCTTGGGGGCCATGCTGGGAGTGTACTGGAGCTGCACTCGGAACCCAGGACCCACACTGAGAGCCTCAGGGCCTGTACTGGGAGCACTGGAAACTTTGGGGGCCACACTGGGGGCACACTGGAGCTACACTTGGAGCCTTGGATCCATACTGGAAGCACTGGGAGGCTTGGGCTCCACACTGGGAGTGCAGTGGAGGTGCACTCAGAGCTTCAGGGCCCATATTAGGGTGCATACTGGGAACACTAGGAGCGCACTGGGAGTGTTTGGGCCCATACTGGGTTCGTACTTGGAGAGCTGCAGCCCAGGCTGGCACTGTACTGGGAACACTCAGTCCATACTGGCAACATTTGGGTTCATACTAGGATCTTAGTTTAACTGTAGCTCATACTGGCATCATACTCAGAGCACTGGGCCCACACTGGGAGTGTTGGGGTGATACTGGGCTCCTAGATGAAGAGCTGTGACCTAAACTGGCATTGTACTGGGAGCATTGCTACTATACTGGAAGTACTGGGCCCATACTGGGATCGTGCTTGAAGACCTGTGACTTAGGCTGTCATTGTATTGGGAGCACTGGTAGGATACTGGGATCATACTCCCAGACTGGCATTGTACTGGGAACATTTGAGCTCATACAACAACACAGAGCATTTACTGGGATCATGCTTGAAGACCTGTGGCTCTCACTGGCATCATACTGGGAGTGGTGGGCCCATACTGGGATGGTGGTGAGTGAGTCAGGGCAGTGCATATGCAGTACTAGGATCTATGAGGCCATACTGGTATACCCAGGGCCTTGGGGAGATGCTATAATCCACACCAGAAGACCCAGCCCCTCTGTCAGCACCTCCAACAACTCCATGTCTGACCCACACCAAAAGCTTGAACCATAGGTGCCCCCCAACTACCCTCCACTGTCCCATAACTGCCCTGCAGTTCTCCCAACTGCCCCTAAACTGTCCTACACCTCTCTAGGTAATAGCTCGAGATTCCCCCCAAGTGGCCCATAGCTGCCATCCCTACCCCATAACCACTCCCAGATTTCCCCAACTATCCCATTTTTGCTTTTTTTTCCCCATTTTTGTCCCTATTTTGCCTCAGTTTTCACTGGGTTTGTCCCAGTTTTGCTCTTTTTGCCCTGTTTTGCCCATTTTCACCCTGTTTCATCCTATTTCTTCTTGGTGTTATTTCACTTTTCCATGGTTTTCCCATTTTTTCTATGCTCTTGTCACATGTGCCCCATACTGGCCTATTCC